GCCGCGGGTCGGAGGCCGTCGGGATGCGGCAGCGGAGCGAGGAGCCGCGAGCCGGCCGGGAGGAGCGGAGGAGGAAGGTGAGGGGAGCGGCGGGGCCCGGCGCCGGGAGAGGCCTCGGAGCCCGGGGTTCGTTCCGCATCTCTGCCGGTGAGGGAGCGCTCGTAGAGCTCTCCCAGCGACGGGACGGGCGGTTTTAGGTGTGCAAATTGCACTTGCTGGGGGCTCGACAGAGGTGCCCTGCGCTGCGTTTTTCAGCACTTGGTGCGCTTAACCAACGGCTGCCTTGGGAGGGCTGGGTATCTCGAGTTCTTCTGTATTCTGACATAATCCAACTCTGGTGTTGCCAGGTTGCTGAGCAGCTGCTGTCTGAGCACTGGAAGAAAAACAACGCTGAGCTCCGGGAGGTGATGTTACGTTCTTTTTAGTCCCTGCTGCCTTGCATTTATTAAACCAGTTTTTAACCTGAATGCCATCATGTATCTACTGTTGTCATTCATCTTGAATCACAGCAATTGTCCTAAGTTCTGATAAGCAAAAGGCAAAGAAGAAAATGGCTTAACTGTGTAAGAAGTCCCCTCAAAGCTGGTATTTTTCAAAAACAGTCAGAAATCTGTTCTGACACTGAGAGCAGATTTTCAGTGCCCCTGCTGTAAAGATCTCGGGTGCTTCTTAAAGCTGTTCCTGCCGTGTCCTTGGCGCTTCCTTATTCTTTATTCCACCGACCTGCTGCGCTAGCCGCCACAGCTCTGGTTTCAGTGTCACTGTAGTGTTACCCAGAACTGGCATGTGACATTGACCCTCAGCTTGTGAGCTGGTGGGCGCCGAGGACACCCAAACGAGCCCACCTCTGCAGAAGCAGATCCTGCTGGGACTTCAGGGCTGCAGCTGGGGCAGGAGGAGCTCTGGAAAGTCTGTCTAGATCCTGGGGGACAGGAGAGCCTCTGGCACCAATGGCATCTGTTGTCGTCTACAGGTGGGGTCGGAGCTGCACAGGAAGCAGGTGATAGAGGCTTGGGGGGATCAGCTAATGCAAAAAACCAAGGTACGCTGGGGTAGCCCTGCTGTTACTGGTCGCTAGGGCAGACTCCTGAAACGCGCGAGCAGGTGGAGTGTGACACTATGCGCCTTTTGACCCGGCTGGCAGACAGCTTACCTTCCTCTACGGACACGGCTTGGGTGTGGAAGGAATAGGAGTTGGCTCTTTGTTCATCTTTCTCACACCGGTCTTGAACCAAATAACGCCTGAGGTCGCCTTGTTCATTCCCGTGGCGATGGGGAGTTCTGGTGTCCGCAGAACGACGGGAGCTGCTAACAGGAAGGATGCTTTTAATGAAGAGCCATCGTTCCTGTCTAACAAGTACACACTATCTGTCTGCTAGAAAATCCAGTGCTATCTGCTGAACGGATCCGTTGCAGGATTCAGTGTGGCACTGGGTGCTCGTCTAACAGCGACCTGCAGTGCAGAGCCAGTGCAAAGCTGCGAGAGCTCAGTGTTTGAATACGCACATACTAGATATGGGAATACAGTGATTGTCATGTGAGAGAATAAAGGCCTTCAAATGCAGATTTCAGAGTTAACTAAAACAATAGTCTATGTTGTAATAGGAAAAACTGAGTGTATTTTTAAGACCACCTGGGCTTAGCATCAGACCTGTGCAGGGTCCTGTGAAGGGTGTGTATAGACTGATAGCCATCTTCAGGCAGCGATCAGCAGATAGTTTTGCTTTGTCCTTGTGTTCCTTCCTAGCGTGTTTTGTTCCGTATTTTCCCAATATGTGTCAGCTTGCAGGAATTTGATTTGTGGATTTCCTGAGCCAGAGGCTGTTTCTTTGCGTTAGCCTAACCTTAAATGCCATGCTTTCTTTTGGCTCGGAAAGCAAGAAGCAACTGAACTTGAAGAGAAAAAACGTTATGAAAATGAATATGAAATTGCGCGAAGGGGAGCGCTGGAAAGAATGAAACAAGAGGAAGAGAAGCGCCAGCTGGAGGAGACGTTGCTTCAACAAATAGAAGAACTGAAATTACAGGAGACAGAGGTAATCTTTAGTTTCTCCTCATTTGAGAAGGAAATTCATTGTTGCACTTGGAAATACACCTGACCTCTTCCCTCCAGGTTTCCACTAGATTAAATCTGGAACCAAGTTAGTTGTGACATAATTTCTGTTAGTAATGTAGACCTCCCCCGTGAACACTGGCATATTGACTGCGTTGTGGTAGGTTTTGTTTGCTCCTCTCGAAATGCGAACACCCTTTTGTGCTGCACCAGATGAGAAAAAGATTTACAGAAACTTCTAAGTGTGACAGGTTCGGGTCAAAGGCTTTTTCAGCTGGGGCTTCTCACAGAAGAGACTGGCTGTCTCTTGAGCTGTGAGCCACTGAGCCACGAATTAAATTAATGCGGAATGTTTGCTGCAGTGAGGATTTTGACTGCTTGCAGAGGAGCAGAACGGGGTACAAACTCTGGTACAAATGCTCTCTCTGGGATGTCGTAGCTCTCTGATGTACTCTTTCTTGGTGGTTGTTTTTTTCCTTTTAGGCAACAAAGCTAAAAAAAGAACAAGAGAATTTATTAAAGCAGCAGTGGGAGCTGGAGAACTTGGAAGAAGAAAGGAAACAAATGGAAGAGCACCGGAAGAAGAAAGAGCTTGGGTATGAGATTGAGCATAGCTTGTTTCAGCAGGGCTTGGACAGAATCTGTTCCTATGTCCGCAATAGCACTTGCGGCACGAGGAGATATTTCAGATGGCAGCGGTGGGTTGTAAATACTTGGGTTTTGATGGAAGCGCCCAGAACAGCCAATGAGCAAACACATTGGTGCCGTTACTTCTTTTTGTTCATGTTAGCAGTAGCAGGTACCTCTGTCGCCTGTAAGTTACACTGTCATAGATGTACCTTCTTGAGTGCTGGAGTGTAATAACATAGGGCTTTAGAGTCAGTTTGAATGTTTCCTTTTTTTTTCCTCCTTCAGTCGCTTTTTGAGGCATCAGTGTAATGCCCAGCTAAAGAGACGAGCCCAGCAGATACAAGAGGAGCTGGTAAGAGAAAGTACCCCTTGATTTATACGTTATGGATACTGTGTGCTGAAGAAACTTGTTCCTTGTGTTTCGTTTATGTGTCTGCCTCTGATGACTACAGAGGATTGGTTAGGAAGCCCCTTCCAGCTTGTGAACAGGGCTGAAGCAAAAAGACCATGGGGAAGCCAGCAGGCTGAGCGTCTTCCTGAGCGCACCCTTGGCACTACCTCACCAATAACTTGTAGAGAGTAGCCCTGCACACAGGCTGGAAGCCTGTTGGATAGTTGATAATCTTGTGGTTTTTTTCAAGGAGATAGACAGGCAAATCTTATTAGCCCTCCTCGAGAAAGAAGATGAGGATCAGCGCCGCCAGTCCGCGCGGCGAGAACGAGCCGTTGCAGATGTTGCCTGGATGAAACATGTCATTGAGGAACAGCTCCAGTTAGAAAAGGAGAGGGAGGCAGAGCTGCAGACTATTTTTAGGTGAGTCTGCCCACCTCTGAACGTCATCTAAAGAGGCCGCGTGTGCTGAATGTTCCGGCCTGGCTGGTAGAGCTCCATTCGTGTTTGTTAAATAGGCTTTGAAAGTGGACGTTAGAAAGCGGTGTCCGGTTGGCCTTGCAGTTCTAGAAGCACTGCGGTAGAAGTTTTTGATGGAAGCGCCCAGAACAGCCAATGAGCAAACACATTGGTGCCGTTTCTTCTTTTTGTTCATGTTAGCAGTAGCAGGTACCTCTGTTGCCTGTAAGTTACACTGTCATAGATGTACCTTCTTGAGTGCTCGTTCCGTGTGCCGCGTACCGTGCTAGGCGGTCAGCATGCCAGTACAGACAGACCCGAAGCTTTTCTGCCAGGACAGAATCAAAGCCTGCGGTTGTTTTTCAATTACTTCGACCCAACACCTAGTCCATAATTTCTGTTACATTAGCTCTAATGCAACAGCTTTAATAACAAAAAAAGGTAGTAACACAGAGACAGCAAGAATTACCTTTTAGTTGTAAGTACTTTGTAACCAACTTTCAGTGATTCTGCATTACTGATGTGGAAGGGTTTAGGCTAAGTGACTCCAAAACCTGCATATTGTTTCCTTTTGTATCTTAGAGCTTGTAGATAAAAGCTGCCTCAGGTTCCTCATTCAGGTTCAACTTACGCTCTTCCCAGCGCAGAGAGCGTCTTCAATGGTGACAGGACAGCGCGTGCCACCATCAAGTTTTAGTTAAAGGTTTTGTTGCAGAGGGAAGATTTGCAAAGTCTTAAGCTTTTCCAGCAATGCCCTTAACTACCCACCCCCCGTGTGAAGTAGCATCCTTGTTAAGAGGCAAGCTTCCTCCCGGGGCCCTTCTGTGCCTGGGGCAGATCGGCGCGTCTAAGAAGTCCTGCTACAGGCCAGCGTTTCCTTCAGCGTGTTACCTCCTGCTGTTCAGTAACAGGGAGATCGGAGCGGACACGCTAGCTGCCTGGGAACAAACGTGAAGAGAAACCCGAGTGCTCCTCTAAAGCACAGGGTAGCTCGTCTATGCCCATGGAGTATATAGGGCTTTTTTAACTGTAAGTAGTAACCTTAGAGATAATTCTTCCTCCCTCCTTTAGAGAAGAAGCTAAAAAAATGTGGGAGAAGAGGGAAGAAGAATGGGAAAGAGAGAAGGCGGCCAGAGATCGCCTGATGAACGAGGTGATGACCATTTTTGATGAGGTGTCTCTCCTGGTTCAATGAAGCCGTGGTTCCAGCTGTGACCCTCCACCCTCCAGAGGGTTACAGCCTTCAGTACCAGGGCAGATTTTTTCTGCTTGTCCGATACATTTTCTGAGAACTGTTTAACTGTCTGCACTGAGATTTCCCCAGTTCCGCTTGTAAGGCTGGTCCCTTCCTTGACTTATCTTCTCCCTTAATCCTCTCACTTCACAAAGGTCCTTGCAGGCAGGCAGCGCCAGATCCAAGAGAAGATGGAGTTAAACAGACGAGCCCAAGAAGAGTCTATAAAGTATCGAGAGGAGCTGATTAAAGAACTTGAGGAGGCAAAAGAACTGACTAGGCGAGAGAAGGAGCAGGAGGAGGAACTGAAGACGGCCCGCAGGCAGGAGCTGGAGGCCCAGGTACAGCACGCCTTCCAGCTACGCACCCAGCTGTTGAAGGTGCCCAGCCTGTGTCTGATCTCGCCATAACAGCCCCGTCTTCTCTGTGCCCAGCTGACAGAGCACCGCTTACAAGAACGGGAGGAGCAGCAGCGCCAGAGGGAGGAGGAAGGAGAGGAGAGATCAGCCCGGTGGCGCTGCGAGGAGTTAGTGCGGCAGGAGGCCAAGCGCATGGCTGAGCAAGGGTACCGCAGCAGGGTAGGTGGCAGCGGCATGGGGAAGCCTGTGCATACAGGTCACCCTGACACCCGAGCCCATCGGGGAGGGCGACGGCATCACGCAAGCCGCGTTGTCGTTGCTTCTAATCTGCACCTTAGTTGCCACACAGCACCGGGGCAGAACACCGGGCCCGTTCCTTCCCCTGGTGCTACTTCTAACAGAGGTCTATAGTTCTGTCTTATAAATTGCTTTTCTTTTTCTGATATTGATGCTTTAGGTCCCAATTTTTAAATAATTTTTGAGGCAGACTTGTTGCTACTGCCTCAAATGTTACTCTGGTTATTTTCAGCGTTATCAGCTGCATTAACGCAGCTGGTACAGCGCATCTCAGCTGCTCAGTGTCTTTCCATCTTCTGTCGTGCTTTGCCTAGCTCTAAAAACTAAGCTGAATTTGAGTAGCCCTACCTAAACCTCACGCCCAGCAGATCGTATTTTTCATACTAAACTGTGAGCTACTCTGCAGAGTAACTCACCTCTGTCATTTATTAGACAGTAGCTACTAAAGTCAGAGAAAGCTGGAAGGAGGTGTTACTGCCTTAAAGTATCAACTCTTAAACATTACTGATGCTTTTTCTTGGAGGACATTCATGTACTCTCCAAAGTACCTTCTTTGCATGCTGAATAGTACGCATGCGGGAGATTAATTCTAGAGCCCATAAAGTAGTTATGATCTTTGTTTTGACCCCGTTAGCTCTACAGTTACCCGAAAGCAGCGTGGACCTGAGGATTCTTGTCCTTTGCACCCGAGGAACAAGCACTAAATGCAGTTGCAGACTACAGAAAGAAAACTTTGAAGAATCAAGGAACTCCTGAAGTAATGGTGGCTTTGGAATAGCCTACAATGATGCCAGGACTCAACTCCGTAGATTTCTGAAAATATTTAGCTGTGGCGCAGTTGAACACAAGAGCAAATTTCTGCTGGCTTCAAGAATGCGGAGGTGTGAGCATCCTTGGAGGACTGAACTGCTTCGCTTGCTCCGTGTTCAGAGGTTGCGATGTTGTATTTTAGTATGTGCTACCCCGGGGCAACACAGCAAATAAACAGGCCCCTTGGCTCTAGGCCGTGAAAGAATCCGTGCCTCCCGTGGAACGGGACCTGTAAACCACTACGTGCTGCGTTTGCTATTTAAAGTGTCAGACTCCCACCTCTGAGAAGCAGGACGTGCCTAGAGGCCCAGCTGGCTTTTAGGAGTTAATTCATAACGCGTTGCAGATCGGTAAGATAGATAACGTGTGCTGTGGCAGTAATTCTTAACGTGTCCAGTTCCTCTCCAGAAGGTGCCGAAGACTTCATGAATTTCTTCTGCTTGTTTCATAAATAATGAATAACTGCAACCTGAACAACCGTTTGTTTCTTTACGTGAGCAAACTGCTGCAACAACAGGAGGGGAGGGGAGTTTTAGTTGATTAATGCCCTTGATTCCTTGCTGTTACCGTAGGCAACTGCAGCTTAAAATCAGTCCACACGCTTCAGGTGGTGTGGCACGTCCAGGTCCTGTCCCAGGGCTGTTGCAAAGGTGGGGGCTGTTTCAGCACCGCAGGCTTTACTCAACTATAGGAACTGTTTCAAGAGCTTTTCTTTAGAGAACCAGCACTCAAATAACCCCAAATAATTTCGGCACACTGAAAGGGTTTTAGCGTTTTATAGTAATACAGTAAACAAAAGCTTAAGTCAAAATATTGTACAGACAGAATGACACTGATAAATACAAGTGTTGGAAAAAGGCAAAAAAATTTTTACTTTCCTACGCGGCATTTTGTAAAGAAAAAGCAAGTTTGTTTACAGGGAAAAAGAGATCTAGTCATAAAAGGAAAAAACCCACCGTTGTTATTTCAGGTATTACAACTCTTCTGACCCGCAGTGCTGTACGATTTGAGGGCTAATCTACGCACTACGCTTTCGTTCCACCGCTGGTTTTGAACCACTCTGCCTGTTTGTGAAAAGAGCTGCCGCAGCACGTCAGCATGTGCTCAGACCACTTCTGTTTTACTGAGAACGTCAGAAAATTGCCTATCTTGCATGATAGCCACCGTGGCTCTGGAGTGATGACACAGCGTGACCATAACCAACCCAGAACAAACGTTTGTTCGGAGATGGGGGAGTTGACCAGAAATGCTGTTTAAGTGACAGAACGGGAAATCAGTTAGGGGTTGGCCATGTTTTTATAGCTAGGCCTTCCCAACAAGCAAAATGGTTGATTTTAGAAAATCTGGAGCTAGCGTAGCTGGAACAAGGGCTTGCAGTTATCAAAGCATCCATTTGTTTTGGTACAGAGGCAAGTTTAAACAACTGATAACTTACAACATAACTCAGTGTTACCCTGCTTTGGAAATCGGGTAAGATATGTTAAAAGAAAAGCATACACTGGTGTCCTGAGAGATTGAAAAATACTATCCCCTACCTTTCAATGATGCCAATTTAAGGAAAAGTTCCGAGAAGATTATCAGGGTATTTAATTGCCAGTAGCATAATTTTGAAGTAGGTTTTACCAATGTCTTTTGCAGTTCTAATCCCAGCCTGTCTGCATCCCCATGAGTTTAGAGACAGTTCTGGAATTCAGAAGTGCAGAAAGGAAATAAAAAACCCTCACAATGAATAACATCATTAACTTACTGGGTAGTCATCTACTCTCTCCATTCCTCCCCCCCCTCAAACCTGCACTACTAAAAGGGAGCTAATTACAACATACGAGAATCCAACAGTGTTATGGCACTTAGTGTTTATATATACATACAAACACAGTATGATTGAAAAGGAACCAGCCACTGAACTTTACCTCGTTTGTTCACATAAATATGGCAGTTTTTCACCAGAAAGCCTTGAAGAGTTCGTGGTTTTGGCAGACTGCATACTGCAGACCCGTTTGTGGAACAGCAGATAGCTGTTTCTGACTCAAATGTTTCTGTGAAAACTGTCTAAATGTTCACATCAACTGCTGCCACGTGACAGCCGCTGCAGTTCCGTAACTTCGCTCTTAACTAAAAGACCACTTTAAGAGGCTGCCAGCCGAACTGCCGCAGCCGGCTCCTTGAAAATGACAACACACTTCCAAATGGGACACAGGCGGAGACAAAAATTAGTCATTTTTTTTCCCCCATGGAATTTGGATTCCCGAAGAACTCTCATTTTTGAAAGTATGGACTGACACTGTTACGAATGAAGAAACCTGAAACCCACATGGACGTTTGTCACCCACCTACTTTTCTAACAGGCAGCCTAGCTTGGGTTACTCCATACATGCTTGTAAAATTTATGGACTGACACTGTTACGAATGAAGAAACCTGAAACCCACATGGACGTTTGTCACCCACCTACTTTTCTAACAGGCAGCCTAGCTTGGGTTACTCCATAAGTAGCTTGTAAAATTTTGAAAGATTTGCATAAAACTTACTAGACATCAGAAATCTTTTCACATTTGGATATGTTGAGGTACAGAGGTTACATGCTATGGCAGGCACAGCTGCTTTTGCACTGGCACTCTTCTAACTTCCTTTTTTGTTTTTTAATTATCACAGAAATCTTTAGTGATATTGCATCTTGAGTTACTGAGCAATGCTGCTGCAAACAAGATGGTGCCTTGAAGATGACAGTAAAATTCTGTAGGAAACTTAAGAATGAATTGTTAAATCAGAAACAAAGGATAATATTTTAACCACTAATGCCCTAACGTAACATCAAACATACATATTAATGGCATAGTGACAACTAAAAGAAATAACTATTAAGTTTCAAATTCCTTCCAAAACAGATAAAGTGACAAAGACCTTGTATAGTTACATGTAATAAGCTCGTATGCCCACAACTACTATTGTTTTAGCAGACTAAAAACATATTATTGCACAACAATTGATATGGGAACAGGTAATATTCGGCTTGTACTCCGTTACCAGGACTACAACCTTCTTCCTGCTGGGCAGCAGTTACGGTCCTGGAGCCTTCAGAGCCTGTTTCGCTGCGGGTTTCTCAGTCAGCGGCATCACGGCACACGAGGCTCCAGGACGGACAGAGCAGAGGTGAGATTCTGCCCTCTGATACGCGCAGCTGACTTCAGCGGGAGTTTTGCAAGCAGTATCTGAAAGCAGAACGTGGCCCCAGGGGAACATCTAGCAAGAGCTTGATACAACGCTGGTACGTGATAATGGCTCAACAGCTATTCGCAGCATGCTATTATCTGTAACTAAACTGGCAACACAGGCACAAAATAAGGCAGTGGGTTAAATTAATCATAAAATTGTTAGAAAACATGCAAAAATAATACTGAGTTTTTTAAAAAAAGTTTCTTGCCCCTTTAGTTTTTCTCATAAAAATTTGAATAGTTCCACACCTGTTTGAAATTCAACCTTTAAAAAACAAGACTAAAAAGCCAAGTGTGACTCAGTTGTTGTTCTCTTTGGTTGTGATGGTAACCAGCTGTTTAGCAGCCTTGGCGATGTCGTAGGCGCACTGGATCACTTGCTGCGTGACCAGCTGGATGTCTGTTGTAGGGCACGTCTCCACAGGAAGGGTTTTTTTGCACTCGGATTGGAGTCTGTAGGCACTAGATGTCAGCAGACGCAAAGAAGTCCTTACCAGTTCAGATTTGGGTTTCTGGGAAAGGAAAGTAGAAGTTGAACTTGACAGAACAAAACCATTTTAGGATCACTTTTAATTAGCCGGTAGCAGTCCACAAGTGTTCTTTAATACGAAATTTCTGCTGCCAGGGCCCTGCTTTCTGCACGGACTCCTCTGTGCTGTAGGAGACGTTACAAGACACCGCTGCAGAGACGTAGGGTAGGGGCGGATGAAACAAGTTCCCGGAATTTCTCCTCTCTCATCTCAGGGACATTTCAAACTGCTGCCAGGCAGCACGCAGGGAATACTGCTTCACACTCTCATTTAGGAAGTTACTCATACAAGTTTTCTAGTGCCCATTTACTGCTACCCAGCCCATGTCCTGGCTGACATCAGGGTACAGCATGTACAAGTGTTCAGGTAGGCACAACAGCATTAGATTTTCCTTGCAGTTTTACAGAGGTAGGTAAGACTTTACAAAAACTTAATCACCGAGATTTCACTCCCTAAACTTGCTGTGAAGAAACAGATGACTTTGGTAGATAGATAACAGATCTAAACATACCTGCATGTAAGAAATCCAGGCAACGGCACTCGAATGGAAACTTGGGGGTGATGAGTCTAGCAAAATTCCCGTGTAACCACAAGACTCCTCAAGCTAGATGCAAGTAGCCTCCAGTTTTGGAGAAACTGCATGCACATCTTAGAGTTTTAAGTTCAAAGTAAAATTAAAGGCCTGGATTCACAAGTTAGCCCTTCCCAATTGGCACGCTAATAAATATAAAGATGCAAGATTTGACAGAAACACCTGGTCATTTCTCCCTACCTACAGCTTTTGGTTTTCATTTACTGAAGGGAAATCTACTAGCGAGGAATGAGGCCAAAAACATTTTAATGCTGAAAGGTACTTACTTTTGGGAACAAGGCTGCCATTTCCGTTACTGCCACATGTATTCTCTCGGAGCATGGTATATAGCTGCAAAAAGATGCAATGTATTATTCATTATGCAAAGACTCCTCTTCAATTTCACTAGTCAGTGGCTATTATTCTAAAAACAACTGAGTAACAAAAACCCCATAAATATTCTAAAAATATCTTTGTAGCCTGCACTGAAGGCAACTGAAGTAGGTAGTGCAACATGCAATATGGTGACTCCTAGTGTCTCCTCAGCATTCCCCAGCACACTGCAGCACAAGTTTGTACATAGCTATTGCACTTCAGAAAAAGCAAGAATTTTACCAATAGTACAAAATTATTTCTTAGGTTTTATTACTCTTTGGTCAAAGTTTGTTTGAAGGAATAACTGTCCACACCTATTATACCAAACATTGTCAGAAAGAGTCTCAATTTGTATGCAATTATGGAAACGTGTCTATGAATATTAACTGCACATCAATTCATACGCTCGCATTTCCTAACCTCCTCCCCACCCAACTATTTGAATGCTAGAATTCATCTCCAAATTGTACAGAAAATTGCTTAGCTCGTTCTGTTTGGTGTATGCACAACGACATATTATTGTGACGTGTGGGAGAGCAGGCCCAAGCAAACTGGTTCATGTAAGGCAGGCACAAAGTAAAGTAAGATTCTGCAGTTTGAAAATATTTAAACAAAATCTGGTGACACAGAGGTGCCTTGGGGAAAAAAGGAACTTTTTTCCCTCAGTGCAGTGCTGACAATCAAAAGTGGATTTAAAAAACCACTTTGTATGTGGGATCTGAGTAAGTTTAGCTTGCTGCCATTTTAGGGAAATCTCTATCTATTTGCTTCGAACGAGCTCTTTCTGCATAAGCCAAGAGACTCTAAAACCAGTCTACTAAAATAAAAGTTTTAAAACTGCTAAGGATCTAAACAGCTAAAAATATCCAGTAATCTCTGAAGTTAAAAAAAAAAACCCAACAAAGGTGTTTCAATTTATTTTATGTTTCAGAGTTGAATTTTGGCCATCCAAACTCTTAAAAATAATTTGAGTCAAGTGTTGCTATTTATAGGACTATCTTGTCTACACCTCCGAAGCAATGCAATTTTCCTGCACTTCTTTTCCATGTGTAAGTTACAAAGTAGAAGCCTTTAAAAAAACCACTTTGTACCTAAGTTACCAAAATACTGTAAACTCAAAAAACTGTATTCAAAACACTTGGCAGCAAGGCCTGAAGTCTGACCTCCGTAAGCTTTTAACCCATCTGTTCTCAGCTAAACTCGGAGCGATCTCTGTAACAAACACGTGCCCCTCTGGGTCAGCAGCTGGGCTGGAAGCTTTAGTTTGTCGCAGAGATGCACGGTGAGGACACACCTTGATTCCAAGGAGATTCATTTCCATCCTTGTATCAGTTCATGATCAGTTGAAGCCAGGAATGCAGCACCATGCACATATTTCCCCTTTCTCATTTCACAAACTGGAAGGCTAGACGCCTACTGAGAATGGGGTATGCCAAACTTCCAGTACAGAATTCATACCTCGCTTTTTTGGTAAAGTTTAACTAAAGGTAAAACATCACATGAAGGTAACTTAAGAACACCAAGATGCCTTCTCGGATTAATTTATACACAGTAAACTGACAACGCACAATTCTCACACAGCAGCTTACAGATACATGCATCTCCCAAACTACCAACTGCTTTCACAGTGTGCGAGTTTTAGGCTAAATATTCAGTAATTCTGCTGAGTTAGCTAATAAAACAAAGGCAGATTCCATTAGTCCTCATAGATTTCACTTCTGACTTATATACCAAATGAAAATTGGTCTGTTCAAAATAGATCTTAAAACTATTTACCATAAGCTGCTGTGAAGCGCGGTGTTAGTGTGGTCTGTCAAAAGTTTAATTTCAAAATACTTGTTTTTATGCTTCAAAGACTCAATTTCAGCGTAAGTTAGTTAACATGAGTCAATCTTTAGCAAGAGAATCTCGAAATCACAAAGCAACAGCATTCAAGAAAAATATTCAGCATCTGTAGATTATGGTAGACCATTGCCCTTCCAAGCAAAAAAACCCAAAAAACCAAACCCCCACGGGTCATTATTTATGCAGTCATCGTGCAATACCAAAGGTGCAAAAATAGGTCACTTGCAAATGCACTGAGAAAGAAGCAACACACTGGGGTCATTCTGGCAATGCAGGAAAATTGCTTTAGAAAGGAGTATTTCCGTATGTCTCAAATCACGAGTTCTTCCAAATAAACCAAAAGTGGAGAAAAGTCTTCCAAGTTCACTGTAATTCCCATTCTGCTACTGAGTTAACAATTAATTTGCTCCCTGCAAGCCAAATGAACAGCACCTTACCTCATAAAAAAGCCAGTTTGCCAATTAAACCCTTCACTAACAAGGCAGAGAAAGCCCTAAGAGTAACTTGAATGAAAGAGAGTAAGACTAACAACACATATTTCATAATATGTTCTCTAGGTTAGCTGCAAAGTTCACAGAGTATCTTGGAGGAATGGCTTTATTTTATAGTCTAAACACTCGCTGTAAGCTCATGAAATAAGCCGACACATTTGTTGAATTTACACGCATTCCAGTAAGACATCAGGAAGATACTCAAGTAGTGACAGCGTGGAAAAAAGAATCCATCATGAGCAGTAACTTGTGGTAACCTCTTCCTCCGATCCTGATATTTGTCACTGGCAGTAACACCTGGGGTTAGAACTTGGGAAGTTCTGTTTTAAAGAACATCTCACTTAAAAATGAAATTTATTTTAGGCATTAATAAACAATATTTCGGTCAGGTTGGAAGATACTATATAAACACACATCTTTTTTCATTGATTCAAGATACAAATGATCTCATTTGACTCGACAGCTGTATAAACAGTTGAGGGCCTAAGCTCTCAGGTGTGAACATTGCATCTCAGGAACTGTGACTTCTGCTACTTTTGCAGCAGTGCACAGAAGCAGCAACCACATATTGTGCTGTTAGTTGTCATACTTTATCTTGATGGACAATAAGCAGAACAGACAGGAGAATCTTTTACACTAGAGACAGTTACAGTTCCAGGCTGTGATTCTGTTCCCCATTAAATCAATACCGGGAGCTTCGACTGAACGGGTAGTATCACAGGTTCATAACTCTCTGTACTAGCTAACTGCAGTTTCTTTATCATCCAAAGCATTTCATGCATAGCCTTCAACGACCCCTGTGCAGATGGTGCGTGAGGGAAAGAGGCAGCAGAGAGAAAGAGAAAGGACACTGTGCCTGGGAGGCAGGGACAGAGGCCAGAGTACCAGGAGGCAGGACCGGGCTGCTGGACGGTCAGAGGCTGCAGGGGAGCTCTCTCAGCCCAGGGAACCAGCGTGCTGAAGCAGCCGAGGCTATGTCTGAGCTTGAGCATGCCCGCACGCTCTAATGGTCTACTCGGCCAGTCGAGCACAGGAAAAGGAATGGAAGAAAGCGAGGAAAAAAAAAAAAAGGAAGGTGTTTCATTAATAGGATATTCTTGCAGAGGCCAGAGTACCAGGAGGCAGGACCGGGCTGCTGGATGGTCAGAGGCTGCAGGGGAGCTCTCTCAGCCCAGGGAACCAGCGTGCTGAAGCAGCCGAGGCTATGTCTGAGCTTGAGCATGCCCGCACGCTCTAATGGTCTACTCGGCCAGTCGAGCACAGGAAAAGGAATGGAAGAAAGCGAGGAAAAAAAAAAAAAGGAAGGTGTTTCATTAATAGATGATATTCTTGCATCATTTTATTACTCTCTGATTACCTATGCAGCACGTGATTTTTATCTACAACGTTCCCAGCACTAGCTGGAAGCCATATTATTACATCACTGAGTAACTCATTTTGTTAAGGAAGCATTCCCCTACTGCAGGAAGAGAATGGTGGAACAAGCCTGCTCCACCTCCTTCGTGCCCCAGGCTGTTCTCAGCCCACCAAGACAAAGCCAGGGAACAGGAAAACAAAGAACAGCAGCTTCAAGTTCAGTGTTTTGCAAGATTATACTCATTTAAGTACTGGCAAACACCCCACTCCACGCATGGTACAGAAAAAAAACATAACAGGTTGTTTAAAAATCTATTCAACAGAGAAAGCTAGGTGAGCCATATTGTTTCTTTCAATGAGTTTTTAAAAAATGTAATTCAAATACTGTGAACTGTGGTATACATAAAAACTCATTTAAAGCTTCTCTTACTGTTGCTTCTCGTTATGATCTGTGAGAAACAAGCAACAAAGGATTGCAGTGGAAAAGGTTACGGACAAGGGCAACGAGCTCAGCACAAACACGTTAGAACTCGCCATTCAGTGTGAGGAGAGGCCGCGCGCTGTCCCTTCTAAAAATAGAAAAGTACAAGAAGGGAAAAACACAGAACAAAAGTGGCCCCATTGTTGTGCACTTCTCTCAGCAAGGCAGGAAGCGAGGGCTTAACACGAATCGCCAGTCGCTTCTCACAGGCAAAGACAGGCACAAAACTTGGGATGGGCGGCAGAATGCAAGACCTACCAGTCTGCAAGTTCAGATTTTCTGGAGACCAAAGCTGTTCCAGACCTAAAACGTGTTCATACCTGGGAAGACGTAACTCTTGCTTACAGTCTTCTAAAAGAGCTGGGCAGGAGCACCACCTGATGATCAGGCAGGGGCAGTATCATTTTTGCTTCCTCACGCTATTCTGAAAATTAATTGTTCAGTTGGGCCAGAAGTTCCCCGAGGGAGCTGAAGCTGTGTGCTACCTGACGTGCTGATGAACAGTCTCCCGCTTACCCAGCTACAACTGTGTCTAAACCCCACAGTTCAAAATAGCTTTTGCTGGTGCGTTAGCTGTACTAATATTTCAGTAGGAAAGCCAAATTCTCCCTGCCTTCGCAAATTTTCCTGAAACCAGACTCGGTGTTACTATCACACTTCTGTGGGGTGTCCTTACCTAAGGACACGGAGGACTGAAGACCCTCCTGAAGACTGAGAAACTTACGCCAAGCTCTCTGCAACACATTTGATTTATATCTAAAACAACACTCATTTTGCAGCAGGACTTCACAAGCACTTTGCTCCCCAGTGCTCCCCATCCCTGTGCCAGTTGTGGGCAGGGCAGGGCAGTACAGGCAGGTGGCAGGCAGTGGGCAGTGCTGCAGCCAGAACCCACTCACAAGGGGCTGCACCGGCTTTTTGGACAGGAGTGTGTGTTCCCACCGCGTGTGCTGGTCACTCGTCCCCGCTCACCCTGTGGCATTAGGTCCAGTGCACCAGGAAACACCACGGACCTGCAAGTTTTGTAGGTGTGAGATCAGCATCTCCAGCGTTAACACGGGTGGTGGTGGCTGTACGTGTGCAAACACCTGAAGAATTTTCTTCATTTTCTCACAAACTCCCGAGCTTTTCCAGCACTCATGCCTTACCTATCATGCTTGTTCTCTTGTGCTGCTCGCAGCAGCTCCTGAATATTCTTAGTGATCTGCTCAGTTTTCCGAATCACATCTTCTGTACTGGGCAAACTGGAGTTGGGGGCTGTGTCAGCATCTTCAGGGATGGAGCTCTCCCCCTGCCAAATGACACTCCTCTGCCGGCCCTTCCTGCCTGACCTGCAAAGGAACAAAGCAGAGGTCAGCCCTGCGGGACAGAACTGGCTGCCTACACAACTCCCTGTCCTCCGACAGCGTGGAGCTGTGCCGTTAGCTCTGCGTCACCATGCCGTCAGCTCTGCATCGCAGCACCTACCCCGTCTCCTCCAGCTCCAGAGGGGCGGTGGGGTTATCGTAGTCACTCTCGGACACGCTGCTCTGCTTCTCCAGCTTCGAGGTCTGCAACGAATACAGGTTTATTTCAGTGTTGTGCAGAAAAGAGGAGCCCCGAGCTGTGCCAGCGCCACGTCCTGAGTAGGCGGGCTTGCTCTTTAGCACGACAGCCCCTGCACCAGCCGCTACCCTGGAGCCCAGTGTGCCCCCTCACCCTGTGCTGGGCTCCTGCTGCCAGCTTGTACGCAAGCCCCTGGGCACTGCCGGCACGGCACAGCCCCACCAGACCCAAAGCAAGGGCTCTGCCCCGGCACCCAGCCAGGCCGCAGGGTGGGACAGACGGCCACAGCACAGCGTCCTTCCCCTGCCGCTGAAACTGCCACGTGGGCACAGAGGGGGAGGCCCAGAGGGGAGCAGAGGCCAAACAGAGAGGGCAGGGCCACCAGGGAGAAAGAGGCCAGACCAAGAGCAGGAGGCCCACAGCAGACTGGAGGTCAGACAAAGCGTGGGGGGCTGAACACAGAGTGGAAACCAAACCGAGCACGGGAGGCTGAAACAAGAATTGAGGCCCAGCACAGGCAGAGCAGGAGGCTGGACCGAGTGTGGGAGGCCCATAACAGAGTAGAGGCCAAATCAAGCATGGGGTTCTGACCACAGAGCACCGGCTGACCCTGGGAAGCCCTCTGCAGAACAGGAGACCAAAATGAGGGTTGAGGACTATTGCAGTGTGAAAGCCAAAATAAAGACAGGAGACTGATATGACGGTGGGAGGCCCATTGTGGTGGAAGACCAAACGGCATGTAGGAAGCTGAACCAACGGACTTGGAACCCGCTGCAGATTGGAGGCAGAAACGAGGACAGTTCAAGGCCCCTTGCAGATTGGAGGCCAAAACAGGGGTGGGAGGCCGAAAAGAGGAGAGTCGAGGCCTATTGCAGATTGGAGGTCGAAATGGAGGTGGGAGGCCAAAACAAGGAGAGTTGAGGCCCATTGCAGATTGGAGGCCGAAACGGGGGTGGGAGGCCAAAAGGGGTGCGGGAGGCTGAAATGAGGAGAGTTGAGGTCCATTGCAGATTGAAGGCCAAAATAGGGGTGGGAGACCAAAACGGGGAGAGTTGAGCCCCACTGCAGATTGGTGATCAAAACAAGGTTGGGAGGTCAAATAAGTGAGAGCTGTGGCCAGAAGAGTAGACGGCCACTGAAGAATTCGTGTCAAAAGGAGGTGGTAGGCCAATTCCAAAGTGGAAGCCGAAATGAGGGCAGGAGGCACAGAAGGAAATGAAGGCCAGAGCTAGCATTGTAGGCACAGAAGGAAGTGGATGCCAGACTGAGTGTTGCAGGGACACACGAAGCAGAGGCCGGACCGAGTGTGGGAGGCCCACTGCAAAGCGGGAGGCTGATCCAACCAGGGGACTGAACCCAGAGTAAAGAATGAATGAAGAGTGGGATACAAGGCCAGGCTGGATGGGGCTTTGAGCAACCTGGTCTAGTGGAAGGTGTCCCTGACCATGGCAAGGGGGTTGGAACTAGGTATCTTTAAGGTTCCTTCCAACCCAAACCATTCTGTGATACCAAAATGAGCTTGGAGGCCAAATCCACAGCGGATGCTGAACCCAGAGTGAAGGCCCACAGCTGAGTGGGAGGCCGAACCAAGAGTGGGAGGCACACAGTGGAGTGGAGGGTGAACTGAGCCTGTGACTCCGAACTCAGAATGGAGGCCCACCACAGAGTAGGAGGCCAAACCTAGATTGGGAGGCACACAAAAAAGGTGAGGTTAAACCTAGAGTGGGAGGACCGTGGCAGAGGGAAGGCCGAAGACAGAGTTGGAGGCTGAACCAAGCGTGGGAGGCCAGACCGAGTGTGGGAGGCCCACTGCAGGGTGGAGGCCAGACCGAGCATGGGAAGGCCCAGCTGCAGAGTGCTGCTCGAGAGGGTGGAGGCCATAAACAGAGTCAGAAACCCAGAAGCCCAGTATTTTCCTGCTCCCCCCTTCACGTGGCATTCCCTGGGGAGATACACTGACTGTGTCCACACTGGGAACCAGAGTGCCGCCCATTCCCTGCCTCTGAGCACGTGCGCTTTCTCCCAGGTGCGATGGCAGAACACTCACCACCTCCTACTCCCGTACAGACCAGTTCTGCACCTCCCAGTAAAGCATCTAATCTGTGGGCAAGGATGATGCTCAGGTTTTTTTCCTAAACTCCTTTTCAACTTACTTTTTTTTTTTTTAAACCCTCTCAGAGGGCTGCTAACACAAATAAGCATACTTGCACCATGACAGCTCAAGAGTGCTCTCCCTGCAGATCCTAACGTACAGCCCCCTCTGTCAGCAAGAGGTTCAAGCAGACTTTCAGATAGAGAGCTAGGCTCCCTTCTCTAACCTGGTTTAGCCTTCTTGGATATTTTATGCCCAGGCAATACAACATCCTGGAGGTTTATGCTATGAATACCTACTGTCAGGCCAATCTCTGCAGTTCGCATGAATTTGCAGTTTGAAGCCCCCTGAGGCACACTCCCATCCTCAGCCGGGCCCCAGGATCACCACACACCCGCCTACTCTAGTCTTAAAAATTGCAAAGCTCATCAGAAGTGCCTACTACAGCTCATCCATTTGCAAATATGCCACATCAGTATCACTCTACATACAGATCAGCCTCTGCATCAGCTCCTGCCTTAGTCACAGACACTGCTCACGTAATAGGGTCCTTCGCAAGCTCCGTTGAAGAACCAGCCTTGGAACTTTACAGAAGCTTTGAAGTCAAGATGAGGTAATCTCAAGTGTTAGACTGTAAGGGACACCTTCAATTTGCATCCCTGATCCACACACTTAGGAAATAATACTTCTACCTCGAGGACAGACCAAAAATATGACTAGGAATTGGTTTTCATTGGTTAAGATCCAGTACGTTTGTTAAGCACTCATCTAATGTTAAAACCAACAATTCTTAACTCTGAAGCACCTGGAGTATGAACACTTTCTGTCCATTTTAAAGTTACTCTGCACAGAAGGGAAAAACAAGCATTTTTTGAACGCTCACCTCTCAGGATAGCTAGTAAAGATCAATTCTAAAAGTGACACATATTTTGAAGATATGAAACTATTATCTGTAAAGCCTGACCTTTCCCCTCTCCCAGATGTATAGAGAAGAACAGTACGATTAGTGGCAATGCTCTACGCTATGGTCAGAAATACAAATTACAACAATGAATTACAAGAACAGGATATTATGGAATCAGTAATATAGTATAGTAATGGAATCAGCGTACAATAAAAACAAACAAACCAACCAACCCTCTGCAAGTTTCTAGTACTACACAGTACTGATATCAGCTGCAGCCAAACCCAGATTTGCATTTGACCAAGCAGGATATTCCCTTGTAAGTTTTATCATCCAGCGCTACTTGCAAATCTAGTATTTTCTCGATTGATATGTCCAAACACTGTACAGTCAAAATAAAACGGGGACACAAGAATTTAAAAAGCAGGTTCTTTATCCTGGCAGGAAGAGGCCAGAGTATGACCGTTCAACATCTAAACCCACAGACTTGTTTTTTGAAAAATTTAGTATTATATAGTAAAATTTGATTAGAGACTCTACAATGCTTGCCCAAGAAACAGAATGAGACGGTACCGATTTCATTGTATTAACCACACAGAAAAAGCAGAGCAAAAAGACAGACCTTTTCCTGAAAGATCTTTTCAAAATCAGTTAAGTCTTACAAAGAAATACAAATACTCCTCTCTCAAGTTTACTTTCGGAAAGTTTTAACACAGAAATAAGCAAAGCCTAAATCTTGAACACGTGATACAACAAAATGGGTATAAGCTACTCATTATTTCCTAAGAAATGAGACATAAACATCTAAAAACAGCCCAAAGGACCTTGTATCAATATTTGCTTCTAAGTTAAAGAGGTTTAGTCAGAGCAAGACCTCGAAATGTAATCGACTCATTCTGGTGACAGAGGGCACTTTCTGCAAGAGGTGCAAGCTGGTAGCTCAGGCTGGTCAAACAGCAGCGTAAAAGCTACGGGTTGTTCATCTTCAGCATTCATTAGTCTGTGACACGTTAAGCTGTACCTGCTCAGGGTCCATTACTTCAGTCACAGCCCCTTCACAACCAAAAATGGATGTTACTCTAGAGCTGCAAATGCAATGTGCTTTTCCCTTCTTTTGAATATGTAACTTGCAATTAGTTCAAGGATCCCAAAAAAACATAGTCTAAAAAGAAGCTGTCACAGGCAGACTCGTCTATCAAACTGTTTGCCTTGCGCTAAATGTGTCCTTTTGCAAGGTGGCATTTTATGTTCACTTCTAGCAAATGAATTTGAGTAAGACTAGATTTAAGTGTCCCACTACAAAAAGAGAACAGCGTTTAAAAAAAGTTTAAGAAGCTGGACAAGGCTTCTTCAAATAGCTAATAGCTCACATATGAGGCCACAGCAAAGACAGTGTCTTTGGAATAACATAAGCTTACAGAATGCATTTAATGTTTCGTGGTAACACTGCCATTTTTTTCCTAGGGTCGGTACTGTAGCTAACAAAAATCCTAAGAACAAAGTTTTGTAGATCCTGATGGAACGCCAATATAAGCTTCCTTTATACACTCTCAGTGTCTTTAATCTTGCCCTGGAAGGAGTCTTGCTAAAAACAATTCCCATGCCCAGTCTTTCATCTGTCAAGGTCAGCAGAAAGCAGGCTAGCTGATACTAAATGTATCGGCGGGCAATATGGATGGCTATCTGTTTGGATGCTTATAGAACTCCCTTCAAACAAACTAATGAACATCTGTAAGATAAACGGTCAATCAGTACCAATGTGGATTGGTGCAAACTGACAGCCCCCAAAGAAAGCAGGCTTTAAAGCTAGTACCCAGTGAGCTTCAAATGCCTCATGCAGTGCATTTTAGTCAGTAGGAAGAGTTATGTATTGGCTTATGAAATATCAGTGAGTGCCTGCCAAATTACTTTCCAAACAGCAACCAACTTGTCTTCTGGCTGTTTGCAGTGTTACGCAGTTGAACAAGTGATCTGGAGTAACTGTGCATGGTGTTAAATGCTAAAGATTTTAGCCGTTGTGAAGTTAGAGAGAGGCGAGTATCCACAGCGTGTGGCAGAAGAAAATGGAAAGTGATGAAATACTGCTTCATGCAAGCATGAAGGCTAGTCAGCATAAAAGGGGAGAAGGCAGAGGCATAATGGCTTCTAGGGAGATTGCCACCTCCTCCAGGTAAAAGACCAATTGGGAAGGTACTTAACCCTTCGTGTGCTTTCATCCCTTGACCAGGAAAGCGTGGAGGGGAAGGAAGGTAGAGATGAAGAGGAGGTCACAAACGCACTCCTCCCGATCTAAAAATGGGAAAGAGAAAAACACTCGGGAAAAACCAAAAACAAAACACAAATAAATTCTTAACTGAAATAAAGGAACATTCTTAAAACCATGGAGAGGACATAAAGCAAGAATGATTTTGAGAATTTGGCTAAGCTTGAGTGGACTTAATTCTTTCAAAATACAATTGACTTCATGTTAATTCTAATACTGATATTCCAGAGGTGCTAAATTCCACAGGGACTAAAATACATTCACTATAATACCAAATTAACTAACTCCACATAACAAATCAATGCTTCAGAGCCGCTACTTCTATCCAAATTTCAAACCAAATGACCAAAGGACCTATACAAAGCACTCTCATGTTTTGCAAACATTGCCACATACAAAAGAATTCTGACATTCCTTGCTGCCAGAACTGCCTTTATATCAACATGCCAATATAATTTAAAATGATCCAGATTTCATAGTTTAAAGTTCCTATTAATTTAATTGAAGGTGGGGAAAAACCCAGCATACAAATTTCTGCGCTGATTCCCTGGTGCACTCAACTGTCTTCTTTAGAATGTGCATGAAACATTTGTCCTCCCTCCTGCCAGGCAAAAAAACCCATTAACTTTCAAATATGTTTTAAAGGGCTTAATTGTTCATCTGGAAGGAAATACAAGGTAGTGCTACCAACAGGGAAACATATTGAAACAAATCCACAAATGTTAAGTACGTGCCTAAAAAATATTGTCCCATATTCCTGCCCACAGGGCAATCTAAAAAGATGCAACAAAAAATTAACTTTAATAAGCACTAGTGTGTGTTGGGCCACTTATCTAAAGTGTGAACACATCAGTGCAGAACCTTTGTGGCTAATACAGAACTCCCTCTCCACTATTAGCACATCATACAGGAAAATACTAAACCAGAAGAATTTGTTCAACTAACATCTAAACCATCTTTAGCCTCCAGTTCCAAACTCAGAATAAGAAACTGGTGGCCTAATGAAAAAGTTAGCTTCAATTTTATTTTATTTTTGGAAGGTGGTTCTGAAGTTCCACAAATTGGCACATGCCTATATATCTCAAGAAAGAAATCCATGAACTTTACCTACCTTCTTGGAATATTATTTTTCCCCCCTCCTGGTTTTCAAACAGCCACACATTGATATTTGGCATATATATTGTGGTTAAAAGAAACAGCTGAGCAGAAGCCAAAAGCTCCAGTTTACGTATTCCAGAATTGTTATAGCTTTTACTTTTCAAAACATCAAACTCCTGCAGACATGTTAATACAGCAAACATTAACAATTCTTACAGTTTAAATTCACTTTGAAGCAGACAGTTGAGCAGCTTTGGTACACGAGCGTAGTTGGAACAGACAGAAAAGCTGAACATAAGAAATGCAGAAGCATCAGCAGTTTTACTTACATGTGGAGGGAAAGGCTGCAGTCTTGTTATGCTTTCTTCTGGGTATGTGACCTCTCCCATGGGGAGGTAGGGTTTCTGACCTGATCCAGTCTCATACATGGACATGGGTCTGCTACCCCGTGCAGATGGTCGCCGCTTTAAAGAAGAATTGTTGGTAGGGTCTGTGTATTCAGAACCAGTTTGGACCTGATATATATTGGTTGTAGCCTGTCTTCTGAGGCTGGTATTTTCACTCTGTAGCGTTTGAAGCTGAAAGAAATGTTTAGCAGTGGGACTTTGTTTTTCTAATAGCAAGCGTCAAAAGCAAACTGACTATACAATACACGCTTGTCAGCTTTACTAGTAAATCCAGTTACTAGTAGCTGGGGTTTGATTTCTTTTTCCAAATCTACTTGACTTGCTTAGTATAAGCATGAAAACATCTATGTTCCAGATCTGGAAATATTTATGTGCTGATTTCCAGCACTTTTTGCTGGGATGCAAGCTAAATTAGATCTTAAAATTGGCTGTTGTAGTCGAAAACACACAATCCATTTCTTCCAGCCTGGCTGTACTGGCATATGAATCGTGTAATATAATGAGGTTGCGGGGGGAATGACTGCCAACAAAACAGTTTTTCAAGCAAAGTGATCCATTTCAGCAGTCAATACAAGAACTTGAAAGAGGACTTTAACATAAGGCCTAGGAAATCTGAAAATGCCAAAACTACAGCACAGACACCAGAGACAGCGCACAGAAAACTAGAGCTTGCTCTGCAAAGCAAGAAGAGAGTTTAAGCTTATGAAAATTAAGCTACTGCTTTCTAAGAAGCCAACAAGAAATAATTTTAAAGCTTTTTATTATTATGTATTTGAAATGCATAGTAAAAATGCAACAATTCTGATTTTTTTGTGGAGTTACTCGGAGTAAGTTTGCTATATTAACACATCATAAAGAAAAGATGTAAAAAAAGTCAGTATCAGCAATCCTTTAACAATAATTGAGTATAATATTTCAAACAGCTGATGGCCTTTTAAACAGGAAATTGCATATTTACTACTTGCATTTACTTTGCATCATATGAACCTTCAAGAACATTATCAAAAAAATCCTATTTTGCCTACAGGACTTCCCAGAACCCTAAATCGAACATGCAGACTTCTATCAAGATAATTTATGCTTTTCCTCCCCACTTTCTGTGTGCTCTGTAGTAAGATGCATCAAGTCTTAAGATTTGAGGATCAGCCAGGAGCCAAGCTACTCCTTTAAAGTTTGACATTAGAGGCAATTAAATAGGTCAACTTTATAGTCTCCTTCTTCCAAACTCTTTCACATTTTATAAACGTGCTTTTGGTGCAGTTTTAGTCAACAATTTTAGCTAATGTAAACTCACACCAAACTCTTAACCACCTATAAGCACCTAAAAAAATCCACAGGCTTAAAAAAAATAGCTTTTTCCATTAGAATGCCCATTAAATAACGGAACTATTTTCATTTTTATTTAGGAAGACTCTACTCTAAAGTGGCATTCATCAAGTGTAACTTTACCTCTTCCTTAATTAACAACTTTTGCTTAGTAATTTCCATGCAAAAGATTAGATACACAGTTGGCTAATAAAGTGATACATAAAGTGGATAGATTTTTTTTTTAGTTCAATGACCTTCTAAGCTCTTGCTTAGAAAACAAAAAAAAACCAAAAAACAAAACATAGACTCTTGAATGACATCTATTGCATTAGAATTGCTGAAGTAGTACAAATATATTGGTGTCTTGCCACAAATAACCCAGCAGAGAATTCCCATATCGTACCGAAGTTCCCAGTAGCTTAGAGCTACGACAGCTGTTAGCCCTTCCTCCCATCCTGCATTCTGCAATGGCGCACGGCTATATCGATTCTTCACCAATCCAGAGCCACTAAACACTAAGTTAAAGCCCCGTAGCTATATACATCATCAGGACACAAAATTAGTGCAACTCATCTCCAAGGTGAGTAAGCCCCGGCTATGCCATCTTTCAAAACAAGTTCAACTGCAGCACAGCAATGATCTCTCTTCTGCTACACCACATAAATATACTAAAGCCTCATTAATTCATAGGCCCTAAGTATTTTTTTTTTTTTTACCCTAAATAGACTCTATCTGTTTAAAGAAACTCAATATAAGTGAAAAGATAATTCAACTGATGCAGAGAAATGCTTAACCAGTACAAGCTGTTAAAAGACCAAGGAAACACCCTGAGATCTCTTAGGTTCCTCTCAGTATTCACCATTCCAATAGATCTGAAAGGTTGAACACAATTGTAACAGAAGGATGGCACTGAACAAAGATATTAGAATCTGCTGAATTAGAATCATAGAATCATAGAATAGTTAGCTTGGCCTCAGATGCTAAGAGCTCAGCAGTTCCCACCACTCTCCAAAGCATCTGCCTCTTTGCCCCAAAACAATGGGGAAACAAGCTCTCAGCACAGGTTCACCTCTGCGGGACCACAGCTTGAACAACTTTCTCTACAGGGGGAGAGCTTTCTGCAGCACACTCTGTAAGTCTTGCAGTATTGTAATTATTTGGAAAACAGAATTTTTAACACTAGGTGAAGAATTAATTTGAGGAAGCAGCCAACCCTTTCTAGGCTAGCATGACAGACAGGAAAAGTGAACTCAATACAGATACAAATTCTCCTTTACCCCACAAAAATCTCTATTTACCAGAACACTGGCAAAGCATTCAACAAATTGTTGATTTGTTTATATAAGGATTAGAAGGTCTGGCTTCCAAACTGGGGTTTTGGAGCTTTAAATTCAGGATTTTAGCAAAAAATGTTCAGTTTTCTGTTTGTATAAGACTATCTATACATAGTAACTCATATTCTAAAGGAGATACCTCTACCTTACCCTCATCTAGACAAAACCCATACTGAAGGTTTAAAGCCGGAATTGAGTTTACCACTACATCCTTTATGTGCTATTTTGCACGGATTCAAACACAAGCAAAGAAATAAATCTTGGCCTCCTGGTATACAAAAACTTTATATTGTATTGCCACATTTCAGACTATTTTCTACTGCCAAACTGGATTGGGATTTTAATTTCCCTTCATTCCAGCTAGGCTTATTAATGAAAAAACCCCAACATATTTCCTGGAAAAGTTGGAAGTACATTAGATACATACGTGCACACACGTAAGGTGTGTGCTAGCACTTACTTCCTCATTGTTGCAAACTGCTTATCTGTCTTGAAGCAAGACAGCAAAAACATACAAGACTTGCAACAACTGTCTTGTCACTTGGAAAACTTATGTCAAAGTGAACTAAGCAGATCATCATCACCTCCACAAAAAAAAACATTCAAAGCATGTGCTGCACATATACATTTATAGTCTCATCTGATTCCAAAGCAGCTCCATTTTAAAATAAGTTTTCTCACTATCCGAATATTGGGTTATTGCATCTTCAGTTTCAGCAGTTTTATTCTGGTCAACTTAAAATACATCAAGAAATGAAGATGTTACACTGTTGTGCCTGTTACCTTTTTCTGCATGATTCTCAGCTCATCACTCAAGTTGATGTTCACTTTCATTAATTGCTGAATCTTTACCTCAGAAGCCACCAATGCATTTTTAACTTGCATATATTCTTGGGCTGTCACTGGTCCATCTGACAAGTCTGAATCCAGGCTCTATAAACAGTAAGAGAACAATACTTACACCATTGGGAAACAGACTACCAAAAGAAAACAAGACAATGAGATTTTGACAGCTTTTCATGTACTTACTTTAAAGGAATCACAGTTCAAATTAAGTTCAAATTAATAAGATCCATTCATTAAAATAATTTTAGTCCAATGTAAAAGAAATTTGATGTCAATCAAATCTTAGCTCCTCTATGCACAAAAACGTTTGTCTCAGCATTTCAGTAACACAATACTCTTCCGTAAGGATTTTTTTTTTTTTTAAATATGCAATACAGAACTGGAAAGTCATAAGAGACAGGTTACTAAATATCCAGTGTGCACGTTACCAAGGAAGATTAAACCAGAACTACTAGGTTTACTGCCCCCCCCCCCCTTTTTTTTTTTACCATGCTGCATTATTTTCAGGAATGGTTTAAAACACTCAGTCACTATTGGTCTGCTGTAAATATTTCTTCAGTAGGAAGCAGTAAATGTTTGTGAAATACCATGGAATCGCTGACTAAGAGCATTTTGGTAGATCCAATTATTTCATCTGTGCAACTAGATCTATATCTTAACTCCAGACATGCACAGTGGTGCGCATTACTTTTCTAGAGAAGCATTTTATTTACAATAAAACTTCCTTAAGTCACAACACTTAATTTTGTTAAAGTTCATAGATTGAGGTATGATTCTGAAATGAATTTGAAAATGAATTAAAATATTGGTTTTCTGATCATTTATGCATGTTAAATCCCCTCACAAGGGGAAAGATTCTCTGCAGATTACTGTTATGAATAAAATTTGGTGTGTGTATAAACATTTCAAACCTACCTTCTGCCTGTTTGATTTAGCTGCATTTGTTTCCAGATCTGTATCTTCATCTGAAGCAACACTGTCATAATCAGGCTGGTCATTATCCTGACTTTCACTACTATGTTGATTGCTGATTGATTTGAGTATCAGTTCCACATTTTCTGTAGATCAACATACACCATTTTAAAACATATTAGTAAGTCTGGATAAAAAAATAGAAGTGCATACTTTAAAGTAATTAAAAAAAAAAAAAAAAGGAAGGATCTTCAATCAGAGAGACAATATAATACATGCCATAATAAAGTATCATTTGAGTAGCCCAGTTCAAAAAAATTAATTTAGATCCACCTAATAGGTATGGATTATTACTGTCCAAAATGTCAAAGTTTTATGGTTTTGCCTTTTCATTTCTTGTAAGTGTTCAGACAAGTTAAAGTAAGTGGTGAGAATTGTGCTGTAGCAGCTTAATAAAATTCACATAAGGGAAAAAAAAAACCAAAACAGACTATACTGGAAAAATGGATGTCAACATTCAAATGAAAAATATAGGCAAAAATTAAAAGTTAGAAAAGATTTTTTGTATTTTCTCTCCAGAGGGAGAACTAGCGTTCAGATGTTGTTTCATACCGTCATGGCTAGAACTATGGCTGTCTGGTTGTTGGCATAGATATTTGTATTCTTTGATACCTATCATGCTCAAGAAATACAGAAAGTATACATTTTTAGGCAAATTAGCAATAAGCTCAAGGGCATCTAAATTACAGCAAAGTCCTGCATGTATAGAGCAGCCATGAAAGTCAGCATCTAAACCACTGACATTATCCTAGCTGCCAATCAAACGAAGCATCACTCTAAAACTGTACAGCAGTATTCTGGAAAATTTTACCAAGTTATCATAAAAATCACAACCATCATAAAAAGATGTTCCTGAATTGCACATATCCCACTTGATTTAATTGTATTACAAACACCAACCCTAACAGACAAATCTCCTCTACTCGGGCATTATTTTGGTGGCCTAATGCTTGTTGTCAATAGCCTGCTATCCATATGATTTAGTCCTTATCATTCATAAAAACAGTATAAATATCTTTCTTCATTCATATAGTACTTCTGAATGAGGCTATGGTATTGATTAAACTACTGAAAAATTGCATATAGAAGAACAGACAACCAAAAATATACTCACCTTTTGAACCAGTGAGAGGATTCCCCTGTTGTCTTCGTTTGGCATCACTTAAAATATCTATAACTAGCGTAGCAAATTCATGGGCATTAAATCGAGCCAGTTTCTGTCTTCCCTAAATTACAGAATAATGCGGGGGGGCTTTTTACTTCATTTTTTTTTTTTCACCCATTTTTCTAAAAAAAAAAAAAAAAAGGGGGGGGATGGGGGAAGTACATCGTGTATTAGATGAACAGCAGAATTCCCAGGTAAAACTAAGACTATAGCACTTACAGCGAGTTGATTGTTCAATTAAATTCATTGCAAAAAGTGTGATTTAAATTATCCAGCTGAACACTCCAGGGCAGGGGAAATGTGAAACTATTTTAACCTCTTTACAAGTAGATGCAGCTCTTCTACAGTAATGAAGTACAGTAAAGCAATATTACTTAGAATACCTGGCCTATTAAATCAAAATAGTTTTACAGTATTAAGAAGATTGCATACCTGATTCCTGGTTGAGGAATATTCAGGATTTACGGGAAGAAAAGGGACCACTGTGGTCTCTGTCACAAGTGTACTATGATTCTGAGTAGCAAGCCAAACTGCTCGAGAGAAAAAAAAAAAACAAAAAAACCCCAAGAGGGAATAATCTTCCTGTACTATTTGACAGTGTTTCTTGTCAAAGAATAAAAGACCACAATTTCAAACACAAACACAATCAATTCAAAGGAAGGCTTTTTTCCCCAGAGGGTTCTCTACTTTGTAAAAAACACAAGTTTTTTTCAATTAACGTCACCTTCAGATAATGCAAGACAAAGAAACTACCATTATCAGTAATTACTGAATACAGAAGTACTTTAAATAGAACATATGCTTGCACTAGCATCTTGTATGTAATATAACAATTCAAATTTATTTTATACACATTCCAGAAAGCCTCATTCACCTGCATCTGTTTCTCTCCTGTCAACTTCATCATACACATCCATGGCAAGTTCTTCAAATAAGTGGTTGCTTAGCTAAGGGTAGAAGAGAATAATTGCAGCTTGAAAATAAATAAAATCTAATAAGACCTCTATAACACAGAAAATATAAGAGCACAACTCTGCTCTCCCTTGGCTGTTTTTCAGCCTATATAATTGCTTGTTTCTCAGCCTGCATAGTAGAGTAATCCATTAAGCAGACATACGACCACCCGATTGCTAGATACAGAGACAACAATACGGTTCGACACTTTTCCTTTACTGGTCAATGGATTTTTTTTATCTCCTATCTGATCACAAAAAGACCTTGCGTACTGGGTGAAGCAGACCTACTGTGGGAACTAAGTACCCAAATGCCACTGTAGATGTGGGCTTAAATGAACAGTGAAGACTCACAAAATGCTTGCATGTTTCAAACTGTGTTCCTACAGTGGACGGTTCAAGAGAGATACTTGTGTTACGAAGAAGTGAGCTGTTGGAAGATCAGACATGAAATTAAGATGTCACAGGGCTTTGTGGATGTTTCACTTACTGATGTACAGTGCATTAACATTAGTAATGGGTACCAGACTTGATAACTAAATGACAGCGTAAGCAAGCCTGAATAGGTGGCTGATCTTCCTTCTCTGGGACAAACTGTACTAAAAAGGGTGAAAAACCTAACACTTTTTCTAGGGTTTAGCTTTATTTCCAGGAAAACCAGCCCCGCTTTTTCCAGAGTTTGAGTCCTAAATTCTTAACCAAAGAGCAACTGCAATCATTCTTGAACCCAGATAAAGCCAGTATGTTTACTTCTGTACTGGGTCTGGCTGGGATAGAATTAACTTTCTTCATAGAAGCCCACATGATGCTTGCTGTGTTTTGGATTTGTGGCTAAAACAGCATTGATAACACAACCTTGTTTTGGCTACTGCTGAACAGTGCTTGCACAACATCCGAGGCACTCTCTTCCCCCCTCCGCCCTCCGCCACTCTGCCCACCCCATCACCCAGCAGCAAGCAGGCTCAGGGTGAGCTGAGAGGCACAGCCAGGACAGCTGATGTGAATCCGCCAAAGGGATATTCCATACCACACCATGGCATGCTCAGCTATAACAACTGGGGTGGAGGAAGTAGTAGTTTGGTTTTCAGCTTCCAAGATGGCTGTTCAGAGACTAGTTGGGCAGTGGTCTGCCTGTAGGAGGTGCTGAGCAATTTCGTTTGCTTCACTTGTTTTTCTTCTCTTCCCTTCACCTATTAAACTGCCTCTAAGTCAACCTATGAGTTTTCTTGCTTTTGCTCTTCTTGTGCTCTCCCCAGTCCTGCTGGGGGGACTGTGTTGGTGCTGGGCTGCTGGCCAGGGTCAACCCACCACAACTTGCAAAAATACAATGCAGGAATCCATCTACTTCTAGCTAGCTAGGCATTTAAAGTAGCCGGTAACAGCATGTTAACACGTTAACAGAAAGCCAGTTCTGAAGTAGGATTCATATTTGGTTTGTATTGATTACTATTTGAATACCAGTTCTACACGTGCTGGCTTGCTTAGCTGGAATTTTCATGACCGCTAGCATTACCCTTAGAGAAAAACAGACATTGTTGAACAGAAGAATATCAGCAGGATTGTTCTTCCCCCACCTGCAAAATTTTTATCCTTTGATACAATTTGCTTCAGCTAAAAGCTTTAAGTGGAGAGAAAACATATCCCCACTCTAACTTGTACAAGGGTTTGGTCACCAACACTTTAGTAAAACTAGTGAGCTGGCACTACTATCAACTAATTTGCAGACAGTAATGCACTATATTCTGGCCTTCCACAAAGTTAAAGGCAAATAGTAACATGTAACATACAGATTTATATAAAATACATGAGAGCAAGACAAACAACAAAGTTTAAGGTTCTGAACTGGGGAGACAGACCTAGAGATAGTATCTGTATCTATAGATATATAGTATCTATATCTATATATAGATATACCCCAAACAAGACCAACAAGTATCTGTTCTCCATCATGGATTTGTCGTCACCTCCGCTCCTCTATTTCTGCCTATTTTCATGTTTTTATCCAGACTTTTAACTTGCTACAGAGTTGACGTTTATTTATGCAGGAATTAATAGCAGCTGAAACCAGCTTGAAAGATGAAGTGCAGAGTTTGCCACGTCTAGACAAAGATGTGTCACACAGCACACACTGCAAGTTTTACTTACAGACTGAAGTTTCTTCTTAGCTGCTTTTGCAAGTTCTGATAAATCTAGACTGCTATGAAAACAAAAAGTGATCATTACATCTACAGCATTTAATAGCTTGTTTAAACACAAATTCTACATTTCAATAATTCAATGATTAAAATATTACTTTCATTTGAAACTCCTTAATCTTTTAGTATTTTAATATAGTTTTTAACACATTGATCTTACTAATATTGCTAATATACCAATTAGTATATTCTTAAGCTTTTCTAAACAACGATCTTCTATTTAAAACAAAAGAATCCCCCAAATCCTTTGGAATATGAATACCCACATTTGCATAGCTCAAGAAGTGGTCAAGCTGTAGTGCAACAAAACGCTTTCTGTAAGGAATTCAAACAATATGATCATTCTGACCAAAGCTCGAGTCCACAGAAAACACATAGGATTTATTCCACTGGACTCTGCAGAAGGTAGGTGACCAGACGACTGGCAAATGGCTACAGCAATAGGGCCATGCTTAAAATTATTCTGTACTGATTAGTAAATAATCTCCTCTACTGGTTTCCAGACTTGAACACGAGGGACAAGATGAATTGTGCAGTTCAACAATTTATCATAAAAGCCACAGATCAAGAAGCTGACAAATTTTGAGTCCATATTTGTATCACCCAGGGGAAGACTCCCCGGACCTACAAGGAGGGAAAGGCTCAAATAAAACCTCTGTATGGTTAACTGACATCACAGAGAGTTTGTGTAGGCAGTCACCTAGACA